TCATGAGATGTGTGACGATGTCGACGTCCGTCAGTGTACGTTGATGTGCCGGGGATGTATCCCCGACGCCGTCCGGAAAGAGAGTCGGAGTACCTCGCCCGTTGTTTCTCGCCCCTTCCCCTTCCCCTCCTCCTGCGCCGCCGCCGACGCCGCCGCCGCCGCCCCCCTCTGCCCCACCCCCAAACCTCAGGCCCCCGCGACCAGCGCCAGCGCGCCGTAGTCGTCTGTTGAAGGCCTGTCCACTTCGCCTGATGCGATCAAGAACAGGCGTCGTCTGCCTCCGCGCATCGGCCCTTGCATCCGTGTCGGCTTGCCGCCGCCTCTCGAGGGTGTCGGGGCTGAGGGCGCCACGCGCCGCCGCTCTCGAATCAGTGTCCTGTTGCCGCCGACTCTCGCGGGTGTCGGGGCTGAGGGCGCCACGCGCCGCCGCTCTCTGTTGCTGCAGCCTCTCGCAGGTGTCGGGGCTGAGGGCGCCACGCGCCGCCGCTCTCGAATCTGTGTCCTGTTGCCGCCGACTCTCGCGGGTGTCGGGGCTCAGGGCGCCACGCGCCGCCGCTCTCGAATCAGTGTCCTGTTGCCGCTGCCTCTCGCGAGTCGACGGGGAAAGGGCAGCCCTTCGCAAGCGGTCCCTCTGCCGACCGTTCTGCCGGGCAACAGCAGCAGCAGCAGCAGCAGCAGACTCAGGAGCGGTTGTTGCCCTTCCCCCTACTCTCCCTCCTCTCCCTCGCCCTCCATCCCTGCCCCGAGACCGCCCCCTACCTCTTCCCCTCTGTCCTCTTCCCCGCCCACGGGCACGCCCCCACCCCCGGGAACGCTCGGGCAAATTTCCTGGATGGTCGGTCAGGAGAACAGAAGACATCCGGCTACGACTGCTTCTGCGTGGGCCATTTTCTCCCACAGCAGTAAGTGAGCTTATTGTGGGCGACGATGGAAGGAGTCCAACATAGAGTACGGCAGGGAGGTGGAGGAGTTGGAAACTAGCATAGTATATACGCAAAAGTTTTTTAAGAGTACACTTGACTTGAAATTAGACTGCAGGGGTGAAGAGGCCGCATGTTTTGTTTTTCGTGCAGCGGAGAACGCACGCACTGTCTGTCGTGCAGCAGAGGACACACGCACTGTTTCGTGGCGTCGCGTATTGGTACAGCAGTATAGTCGAGCTCGCAAAATCGGAGCGCAAATATTACAACAACAGTAAGATCGGTCCAGGGGGTGTGGTATATTACGAAATACGACAGTTGGACAGCAGTAGGTCGGATTGAGAAAGGTCGGATCACGGGCCGAAGCAGGCGCACATTGCAAGTCTCGGCCGAAGCAAGCCCACATTGCAAGTCTCGGCGTGTTGCTATGGTATACTTCGTATACAGACTACAGCAGCAGGAGGTGTCGCGATGGTGTCCAGCAGTCGTACAGCAGTATCGGCGTGATGCTGTGGAAGTCAGCAGTATCAAATATACAGACTTCTTTTTCTGTGGAGAGCCGGATGAAGACAGCAACGCCAACAGAACGCAACGACACATACGCGGGAGATTCACATTGGATAGCATAGCACAACGCAACAACACAAACGTGGGAGACAAACGTGTGAGATACAAATTGGATAGCGTTCGCAGTCGCCGACATACCTATTGTCATCGGCCATGATGGACTGGAGTGGAAGAACCTATTGTCATCGGCCATGATGGAGTGGAAGAACCACGTGGTCCCCAACACGAGAAACCCCGCGACCACCGCAGCAAGCAAGCCTTCTACATGCAGTCTGCATGACAACAGGCGAACGCCGGCTGAACCCCATGGGCGCACAACATAGCCAGACACATGTACTCTCCGCAGTAGTGTAGACCAGACACGCGCGGGCAGGACGCGTGGCTTGGACAGGGCGGACTGGTAACCCCACACGGGTGAGGATGTGAGGATGCTAGGAAGGTTTTTTTCCGCTTCCCAACTGTCAGGCATGTCACGGCAGGTGTCTGGCATGTCACCGCATGTCAGGGTATGTCACTGGTTGCACGATTACCACCTTGTGCTGGTGCACACCTCGTTAGACGTGTTCTGAAGTGGTATGTATGTGTGAAATGATTGCACTTGTTTCGGCCGGAGGGTGTGAATCGAGAGCTGAGTCTTATCGTCGCAAGAGCTGAGTCTCAATGTAATGGCTGGGTTCATCTTCTTGCCNCCCATGGGCGCACAACATAGCCAGACACATGTACTCTCCGCAGTAGTGTAGACCAGACACGCGCGGGCAGGACGCGTGGCTTGGACAGGGCGGACTGGTAACCCCACACGGGTGAGGATGTGAGGATGCTAGGAAGGTTTTTTTCCGCTTCCCAACTGTCAGGCATGTCACGGCAGGTGTCTGGCATGTCACCGCATGTCAGGGTATGTCACTGGTTGCACGATTACCACCTTGTGCTGGTGCACACCTCGTTAGACGTGTTCTGAAGTGGTATGTATGTGTGAAATGATTGCACTTGTTTCGGCCGGAGGGTGTGAATCGAGAGCTGAGTCTTATCGTCGCAAGAGCTGAGTCTCAATGTAATGGCTGGGTTCATCTTCTTGCCACAACTAACTGTGCATGTTTCATCGTGTTCTTGAAGTTTGAAAAACCGGGGTCATTTGTGGACAACCCACCGCGCTTGGTGGGCACGCATTTTCCTGTTGAACGTTGAGAGACGAAAAAGATGAAATATTTCGCATTTATTTGCCGACACACACACACTTGCTTGCCAACGGGGCTCTCTTGGAACGCGGAACGCTTCGAACACCACACACACCAAATGGCCCGACAACGGCTGGTCCTCCTCTCCCACGCTACATCCCCCTCTGTGCTGCACGTTTACCTACCGTCTGCTGTGACGCAGACCCACCGTCGGCGACATCTATGTCGACATCTATGTCCGAATGATCCCCGGCACATCCACGCGGATATGTAAAGTATTCAATGTCCGAATCTTCCAGGTCCGTGTTGTGGATACCGAACGGAGCGGACAGGGGCAAGTCCCACTCTCCGCACATCTGCGACTCCTCCCACTCTTGAAAACTCTCCCAGAAGTCACAGTAGGCAACTTTGTCGTCAAACTCCTGTTCTGCTTGGGAGGCTCCCAACTTTTCCAGCGCCTCCTCTTCTTTATCCTCGGCAACCAATACTTCCATGTGGTCGATTCGCTCGCTTGCGTGCCTCTGTTCATTGGCTGGCTCGTGTGATTTTCTCGTCGTACAGAAGAACGGGGGACGGTCCATCATCACCAGCTAGAGAGGGGCGTGGTATCCATCATCATTCGCTAGAGGGGGGGGTGGCGTCCATAATCAGCTAGCGAGGAGGGTGATATCCACCGTCAGCCGTGAGGGGGAGGGTGCTATCCATCGTCATCAGCTGGAGAGGAAAAAAAAAAAAACGTTGAAAAATTCCCCGGCTGCTGCTGCTGCTGCTGATTGTTTGAACAGGACGCTTCCGCCACCGCTTTAGATAACAGCAACAGCAGCAGCAGCAGAGGCGACACACCCTCTCGCCCACAATGAGTGTAGAGAGGTGCACAGCACAGCAGTGGTACTACATCGTCTAGGAACGAGCGTGATGT